AAGGGGCCGGAGAGATAGTACAGCAGATAGGGTATTTGCCTTGCACATGGCTGACCCAGGTTCAATTCCCAGCAGCCCGAGCACAACCAGGAGTAATTCCTTAGTGTAGAGCCAGGAGCAACCCCTGAGCATCGATGGGCAATGCCCAAAAAGAAAAAAAAAAGAGGTGGATGAGCTATACCAAGAAAATTTCAAATCACTTAAGAGATAGAAGAACTCAGAAAATAGAAAAACAGTCCAGGTTCATGGATTGGAAGAACCAATATTGTCAAAATGAACATCCTATCTAAATTATTATATAGACTCAATTAAATCTCCATCCAAATTCAGGGAACAAGTAGCATTGGTGGAATCATGGTGAGCATAGCTGCCTTCCAAATTAGGGAACAGTCTTCAAGAACATAAGTCAGTATTAAAGTTCTATGGTATCATAAAAGACCCCAAATAGCCAAAGCCATACTGACATGCAAGTAACCAGAAGACATCTCATGACCTAACTTTTTACTACAAAGCTTTAGTGATCAAAACTGCATGGTACTAGAACAAGGATACGTTCTTGGACCAATGGTCAGAATCAGACACCACAGACAAATCCCCATATCTATGGACAGCTAATTTTCTTCCAGTGAGCCGGGGACATGAAATGGTAAAGACAGCCTCTTTGACAATGGTGCTGTAAAAACTTCAAGCTGGATCTATATCTCACACTTTACACAAAAGTCAATTCTAAGTAGATCAAAGACCTTAAAATCAGACGGGAATCTATAAAGTACAATGAGGAAAATATAGGCAGAATGCTCCTCAAAGGCACCTTCAATGATGTGATGCCATTTGCAAAGGCAACAGAATCAAAAGTAAACAAAGGAGATTACACCAAATTAAAGAGTCTCTGCAAGGAAAAAGAATCACAAATAAAACTAAAAGATATTAACAGAATGGGAGAAAGTATGCACTCAACACATCAGAAAAAGGGTTGATATCAAATATAGCAAGTATTTGCAAAAATCAAGAACAACAAAAAATCCAATTACCGTATCAACAAATGAGAGGAAATAAGCAGACACTTTCTTGAGGAAGACAGATGATCAATAGGCACATGCGGAAGAGCTCAAGAGGCTGGGGAAATAGCATAGCAGGAAGAGTACTTGCCTTGCATGAAGTTCACGTAGGTTTAATCCCAGTACCCCATACAGTCCTGTAGCCCACCAGGGGTGATCCCTGAGTGCTAAGCCAAGGCAGCAGTGGGTGTTGCCCCAAAACAAAAAAGGGGGGAGAGGAGGAGGAGGGGAAGAGGAGGAGGGAAAATGAAAAAAATGCTCTTCTATCACTTATTCAATCCAACGTAAGCCAACAATAAAGTATCATTTCATACCAGTGAGAATGGCACTGCTGACAGGATGTGCTGGAAAGGAACTCTCACCCAGTGCTGGTGAGAATGTTGTCTGGTACAGTCCCTACCGAAAACAGTATGGAGAGTTCTCAGTGAAGTTAGAATTGAACTGCCATATGGCCTAACAACTGCACTTCTGGGTATACCTCCAGGACACAAAAATGGTCATTCAAAAGCACATATGCACATCAAAACCCATTGTATCACTGAGGACTAGGATATGGGATCAACCTCCGTGTCCAATGACAGATGAGTAGATTATAAAGATGTACAGACACAACGGAATTCTAGAAGCTGCAGACAACCATGAAATCATGCAATTTACTGCAACTTGGAAGGAACTGGAGACTGCATGGCATCATGTTGAGTGAAGTGAACCAAAGGGAAAACACAGGATGATCTCATGTGTGACATACAGAATTACTTGATGAGGGAATGCAAGGCATAAAAGAGGACGTGGAAGGGCCTAGATTACCCTTAACCTCAGAGTATAGGGAGGACAAGAGAAAAGTAATTGAGCGGGGAAGAGGTGGCAGGAGGTAAGTGGGGAGGGACGTGTAGAGGGATGCTACAGTTATTCATTCCAAACCACAGAGTCAGCAATATAAGATCCAAACAACAACCTTGGCCCTGTCAAGGCTCCCACCCCATTACCCCTGAGCCAGGATGTCTTTCTGGATCCTCAGACCACAGGACGCTGCCACCCCCTCTCGGACCCAAAACCACAGAGGTGCTAAAAAGCTTCTGTGCAACATTTCCACCCCTTCAGCCCCACCAACTCTACAGGTTGTTGGTTTTGACAGCTCATCTCAAATACCTCCATAATCCTCTATGCAAACGGGAATATTAGATACTGACTTGCATGACCACTGAAGGGGCATCCTAAAGGCACAGAAATCGTTAGAGCAACAGATTATTAGAGGTAACAGTTTGCTGAGAAATAAAACAGATCATGTCTCAGATAAGAGACAAACCACAGCACCCTCGAGTCTTTAAGAAACATGGGGAACAAAGGAGATCACCTGCTTCCTCATTTCTGGGGAGGGGCACTTGCACAGAGCCAAGAGGCCAGAAGATGCCAAACCAAACAGGCTCAAGCCAAAGCCAAGAAACATGGTGATCAAGGTGTTAGCAGAAAAACAAAGACAGACTCCATAAAGCAGCAAGAGAAAAGAAAAGCCTCAGATACAAAGAAAACAAGAATCACGACAGGCCCAACATCTTACAAGCCAGGAAAGCGTGGAACAACATATTCAAAGTACTGAGTATGAGGAAACTTGCAATCCAGAGTCCAGGCCCTTTTCAGACAAATCAGCTGGCAACATTTGCAAGGACTACACCAACCTTGCAAGAATTACTGAAAGACCCCTACAAAAACAGATTCTGCAAAACAACCTGATTCCACACCTCAGAGAAATGGCAATGCAGACCTGATCAATCTCCATGTCATCGAAGAACACTCCTTGTGAAACGGCTTCAGTACTGGACGGATCAGGAAAGAAAACCCATCCATTTTCAGGAAACAGACCTAAGCTCACAGGACAAACACAGATTCAGAGTGAAAAAATGAAAAACAATCATACGTGCCAATGGAATACCCAAAATAAGCAGTTCACACCCAGTCATATGTCGTGTGTCACACCCAACTCCCAGGCTGAGAACACCAGGCACCCTGTCCAGGGAACAGGAGATCATGAAGTACTGTCACCAACATTTATGCACCAAAGGAAGGGTCAGCAAGGTACAGGAAGCTTCTGAGACACAGCAGCAAGGGGGACTGCTCCAGACCGGGTCAATTCGCCGCTGGAGGGTCAGTCCAAATACACACCAGCAGGTCAGCTCCCCTAAGTGGGCTTCTGGGTTTCCATTTAGTCCCTAAGAGGAAGAGAACTACAAAGTGCGAGCCCCTGCAAGGGGCCTTCTTAGCTGCTCTGTTCCATCACTCATGACAGAACAGAAAAGGTCTTTGAAGGCAGCGACTCCACTGCCCCAAACATGAGTTCAATTGGGAAATGGAGATAGGAATTCTCCTAGATTTGCTTATAAGATTCCATCTAGAAGTTGATGCTCTAAATTCTAATGAAATACTGGCTTGGATAAGCTGTTCCATGCTGAAATTACAAGCCATTTTCAGGACCAGAAACAGCTCAGAGTTGAGCACACCTCTAGCCACCTTTAGGCTCACCTTCAATTCCCAGCACTGCACGATGCCTATGTGCTCTGAGAAAATACTCATCAAAAATAAGCACCATCGCACTGTCCTATAGCACTGTCCTCCTGTCATTCATCAATTTGCTCAGTAACGTCTCCATTGTAAGATTTGTTGTTACTGTGTTTGGCATAACGAATATGTCACAGATAGCTTGCCAGGCTTTGCCATGCAGGTGAGATACTCTCGGTAGCTTGTGGAGCTCTCTGAAAGGGGCAGAGGAATTGAACCCGGGTCGGCCAGGTTGGCCACGTGCAAGGCAAATACCCTACTCTACCTGCTGTGCTATCGCTCCAGCCCATATGACAATATGATAGCCCATATGACAGCCCACTAAAAATAAAAAAAGGCAATAATCCCGATGAGATACACCACAGAACCCATATGACCATCTCAGAAATGTCTCTGATCAGGGCTGCACGCAGAGCACACCATGGCACAGCCAAGCGTTCAAGCCCCCTCCCAGGCCATTATAGGTGCTTCCTATGCACCACAAGGTGCAATGCTGGCATCCCCCAAGCTCTGCCAGGGCTGCCCTGAAGGCACGCCCAAGTACTAAGCCTTCTGGTCAGCATAATTAGGCCAACTAATGCCAGGAGCACCCCACCCTGTCCCCTAAGCACTGCCTGGGAGGCCCCGAAGTATTACATTGTTATAAAATCAACTTCAATGTTATTTTTAATTATGAAGTAAATTTGTGACTTTAGAGATTAAATGAGTTCCAAAATTTCAGAACTGAGTAACATATGCCAAAACTACACTGGAACAAAAATTTCTCAGCAACAGTCCAACTCTCTTTTCAATCTATCTTACTCCCTGCTAGAATCAACCTTTCAGATGTCAAGGATAAGGAATAATCTGGAAATATTTAAGGAATCAAAATCCAATGCACATGCTATCCTTTATGACTGGTGTCTAGGAGGAACACAGACAACTTTGACTCAGCTTCAGACACTCTGGGCTGGCACTAACCAACCACACTCACAGGAAAAGCAGTTTACAGAATGAGCTTTAGAAACTGCATTCCAGTCTCAGTTACAAACCTTGGGAGAGGTTCAAGCAAAGCTACGCTGACCCTTGAGGATGGGGTTTCCTCCTGTGGCGGGAAACAAACTTCACACAGGCAGGGGAAAACCAGAATGGGCCTTATAATAAATGCAAACTTGGAAATGCCAAACTATGCCCCAGCCTTGCCAGCCTGAGGGGACCCCCCCCCCCACCACCACCAGCCAGGGGCACCATGCAGCAGCCAGAACCCCATGGCCAGTGTGTGTGACTTCAGACTGCCAAGTCCTCCAAGTGACTGATACCACCCAGTTCCAGAAAGAGGCTGAGACTGTCCCAGCGGCTCTAACTCGGAAGCCAGAAGCGGCCAAAACACAGGCCTCAGAGGACCCTTACCTCGCGGGCAGCGCAGTCATGAGGAGCTTCTTCCTTGTTGACCTTCCCTTTCGGAAACCCCCAGCCTGATTTCGCTAAGTAACCCTGGACCAGCAGTACCTGCGGAACAATGAGAAGGAAAAATAAACCTTGACCTTCTGTGCCGTGTCCCCTTCTAGAAGTCAGTCACTCCTCTCTCCTCAGGTAACTGACGAATATACAGCCAATGTATGGGTGCTGTTCAACAATGCAGGGACTCTCCAATAAGCCACAAAGCAGCAAGATCAAAGATTAAGATCCAGAATGCATACCAAATATGCAAAATATGGCCTCTTTACTAAAAATCCAAGTATATTTTAAAACACTGATTCAGAACATTATAAATAGTTTATTTATAACATTTCTAAATGGTTAAATTTCAAAAGTAATGTCTTTGTGTAAGTATTTACAGCCAATTTCATTAAAAGTTTTTCGTGTTTCTGGGCCATTGGTATTTGCAGGGGCGGGGATTCTCTGTTCTATGCTTGACCTGTTTTGTTTTGTTTTTGAGATCCACCCTGCTGTGATGAGGGCTCATTACTGATCTTACTCCTGCTCAGGAATTGCTTTTAGTAGGCTCAGGGGACAATATGGGGTCCTGGGGATCAAACCTGGGTTGGGTGCGATCTGTACAATCACACAGTTAAACAACTATAGTCGCTCTATCTTGACGCATTCTGCTCTTGTTTTTGTTTTTTTTTTAATAGACTCTGGTTGAAGGAATCACTTTGTAATATATACCAAGTCCATCCTTTACTTCATTTTTCACATTTCCAAAGATTTTAAGAGTAGCTTGTGAAAATCAAAAGGGTCGTGTGCTCACTTTAGCCCTTGGGCTCTCTGCACCCACACTCCTTTTTGTGCTGCTTAGCACAGCGTTTGCCTTGCACACAGCCGACCTGGGTTAGATTCCTCTGTCCCTCTCAGAGAGCCCCGAAAGCTACCGAGAGTATCCCACTCACATGGCAGAGCCTGGCAAGCTCCCCGTGGTGTATTCAATATGCCAAAAACAGTAACAAGTCTCACAATAGAGACGTTACTGGTGCCCGCTCGAGTAAATCGATGAACAACCAGAGGACAGTGCTACAGTGCTATATTTTAAAACCTTGACTCAGAACGTTATAGAAATAACAGTAATAGGATAAAAATTAACAGCTGGTAGCCATTTCACTAAAACTCTTTTATCACACTCACATTTTCAAGTGTTTCATCAAGAATAATTGCACCGTATGTTGGTACTCCCATTTTATATTCCTTCCATTCGTCCAAAACTTTTTCCACATCTTCACCTTGAGGCAGCAAAAATGGGCAATGACTGAAGAGTATACATATGTTAAGGAAGCTATTTTTCCCTCAATAATGCTCAAGCACAAAAAGAGACCTAATTAAATTAAAAATATTTTATCTACAATTAGGCACCTCCACCTTGTGTTTATCCTTACATCACTGCTAACGTTTGCACTATGCCTAAACAAAATTCAAGTGAAGTCCCATGTTAACACAAGCTTAAAATCATAAGAATACTTCAAATTCTTCTCATTAAGCAATTCAAACTTATCCTACCAGGCCATCAGAAGATACTGAAACTGCTCCCAGGAGAGAAGCAAAGCACATACCAATGAATTGCACTGGCTTAGAGGAGAAAAACAATGCAGTTGTTGAATGTCTTGGTCACATTTATTGTTTTCAAATTGAAAAAATTTTCATAGAGACTTACTACAGTTTACGTCCTATTTCAAAAGACACCAAAGCTAAAACTCATCCCTCCACCCTGCCATTGGGTAGAACAAAAGTAATGGTTTTGTTTACTATCATTTTTAACTTTTTAAACAAAAAATAATTCACTCTAGTCTGATTTTCTCATTTCTGAGAGGTAGGGGTGAATCCCACATGAGGTGGTGGTTAGGGGACCAACCCATGCCCCACTATCTGAGCTATCTCCCAGCCACTGTCTGATTCTGACTGGCAGGGTGGGGTGCCTCCCAAAGGGATCTCGGGACTCAGAGACGACTCCAGTGACACTGGGCCACCTGGCAATGGTTCGCTATCTGGGCGCTTTGGGCCTGTGGCACTGCAGTGCCCAGGGGCCCCCAGGACATCAAACCTGGACCAGCTGCATGCTGGGCAAGCACCCTAATGGCACTACACTATCTCCCAGACCTGATTTTCCCATCTACTGGAACAGATAAAACCTGACAGACCTGGCTCTCTTAATGGGCGAGAGTGATGTGGAGGGATCAGGTCCCCTGACAGTGCTCAGGAGACCATATGCAATGCCTGGATTCAAACCAGGCTCAGCTGCAAGAAGCACCTTCACCCCTGCACTGTCTCTCCGACCCCTGAATCTGATGTTCTTAACCCACCAAAACAAATCAAGTCTTGATTCTAAGTTGTCAGACTTTACAGAGTAGTTCTAAGAAAAACAAAGAGTTTCCACTTGTGTCACATTCTTTATTTTAAAACAACTCTGACATCCGAACCCTACCATTATCTTGGCCAGCAACTACAGAAATAGCGCATCGCAGCCTGTTTCAGGAACCTTACACTCCTGCTCCTTCACCCCTTCCTACTCTTGGAACCAATTCCCACAGCAACACTCTGGGCCTGCAATGACTGAAAGTATTCTGGCAATGTGAGCAAAAAAACTTCCTGTGGTAGTTCTTTTAATTACTCATATACCCAAAATTAAACATAAAAATAAAGTACAAAGGGCTAGAGACATAGGTAATGGGTTGGGGTCCATGCTTTGCATGCAGGAAGCTTGGATTCAATCCCCATATCACCCACCACCTGGCAATCTCCTAGCACCACTGGGTGTGGCACAAAAGTAAAAACAATAATTATTCACACTTCATTATTCTCCATTAACTTTTATAACTGCTTTCCTCTCCATATCTGCATTTCCCTGCTGTTATTTTCTTCCTCACAACATCAATCTCTTAGCAATACAGAAAATTCTGCTGCCCTATATAATTCTCTGAACATAGCTCCCTAACAAAACTTTAAGCCAAGAACAAATTCAGGATATGCACTTGATATCTATACTGTGGAATACGCACTGAAGACACCCCTAAGACTGCACGCACGACAGCACAGCCCCGACTTCCAGCACCCACTGCTGCTCCCGTTTAGCCTGACACAGATCCGAACTTTCCTGCTCTTCACACAGACCCTTCTCCCACCAGCCTCTTTCTGCAGACCTACGTGACGTGCCCTGTCCTCAGGCCCCACACAGGCCAGTGCTGCCCCCTCACGCCTACCGAACTGCCCCTGTCTTTCCGCCCCTGGCCAGCACAGGCGCAGCACGAGGAGAGCACTGGACAATCCGTGAAGTCTCCCAACCGAGAATGAAAGTGCCCTGTTCCTTCTCGCTAGACCACAGGACTAAAACACATTTTCATTTGGCTTGTTTTCAAGAGTAAGAAAAGTGTGCAGAGCACCAAAGTGTGGTAAGCAGCCTCTGCAGGCCCTAGGACTGCAAAATGAATCAACAGCACAGAACTCAGACGGTCTGGCTATTCTGCTCCTTCTGACAAGTCTATGACGTCTCCACAGAGCCTACCACCAGTCACCCCCCAGGAACAATCTCCCCCAGCATCACTGGGACGGCCCTGACAAACAGAAGCACCTTCCACTCCCCTTCTCTCATTTACTTCTCAAATTTTGCGCAATCCCACTCCTAATGATAAAATTCTATATTCTCTTAAATAGTTTCGCATAAAATGTTTCCACCCTTTTCATAAATTCTAAAGACATTTAATACTAGGACCATTAAAAATAGAACAAACTCGGTCAATTTTTTTCTTTCTTTTATTATCGGGAGCGACAGCACAGCGGTAGGGCGTTCGCCTTACAAGCGGCCAACATGGCCGACCCGAGTTCAATTCCTCCGCCCCTCTCGGAGAGCCTGGCAAGCTACCGAGAGTATTCGATATGCCAAACACAGTAACAACAAAGTCTCCAATGGAGACGTTACTGGGCCCGCTCGAGCAAATCGACAATCAATGGGAGGGCCTTTACCTTTACCTTTATTATCTTGAATATTCACGTGAATTATTTATAAATAATAACCTAAAACATGCTTCTTACTTAAAATTAGAAAAAAAACAAAAAAATCTTCTGTAAAGGCAGAATTTCTTTGTATTTGCCATAGGAAATTAAAAAGGCCTGCTTTAAACATAGTAAGACAAAAATAAAAGAATTTCTACCCTAGTCAGGTAGCAATCTAATCAGCAAGAGTTAAAAAAAAAAAATCTGTTCTAGAAATAAGACAGTTCTGAAAGAAAATAAAATTCTAATTCTAAGTGCACAATTAAAGAAATTCTTTACATAAAAATTAAAATGTTATTGTGTATACTACTTATATTTGATAATATAAAAAACCAAGTATATCCTATCTAGTAGAGAATATATCTGAAAGAAAAGCAAAAGGAAATTTGGGCTAAAATATTTACTAATAGGAGTAAGATTTATTAACAGTCATTATACTTATTAAAAGGATATCAGCTTTAGCAAAGTCTCTTATGCCACACTGAGGTAATCCTGGTGTGTTCTGCATGTAGAAATCCAAGTAAAACCAATGGGCAAGTTCAATCTGAAAACACACTCGAATAGCATTGTCTCTTTCCTCGCTGGGAATATGCAAAATAAATCGGCTGTCAAAAACAAAAAACATAAAAATTATATTCATAAACCATAACAGTTAATTTTAACCTATTTAACTGCTTTATCCCTATACCACCAATAAAGAAAAGGGACCAAAGTAAAGCTAATAAAGAAAGCAAAACTGGGGAATTCTGGTAGAGAAATCAGTCTGTCATATGTGTGTGTGCACTCATAATAGGACTTTTTTACATGGCCATTTCCCTCCAGTACCCTCTTCACCAAGAGTCCACTGAGAACAACTTAAAGTGACCAAGAAAAAAAAAGAACTTTTCCAGGATGCCCTCCATATGTTACATGTATAATATGGAATTATATATACAAATATTCAAGCAAGAATGATATTAGATAGTTGTTTAATCTAACATTTGATTTAAGGTATCAAAAAAGAAAAGCTGAAAATACTGTTGCTGGTATGTGAAACTAACTTTCAACTATGACTTACTTAAAAAAAAAAAAAAACTATTTCCAAGTACACTATGATAGTGCAAGAATTTATTTTAACATACACATAGTATGTACACTAAACTGTGCTCTCAGTGCATGTGATTAAGGACCCACCTGTGCAGCAAACACACTCGAATTTATGAATCTCCATGAGTGTGATTTCAGCAATCATTAAGCAACTCTTGTTTCTTTGACAGGAAATTTTGATAATCCAATTTTTTAGGGAGTTTTAGGGACAGACTGAACTACATACAATTTACTAGTTTTGAGAGCTATTTTCTAAAATTAAAAAATAGATACTCTTGGCTGTTTCCAAGTTTCAAATCAAACCTGAAAAAAATACCAAATTATAAAAAAAAAGATTCAGTCTATAATAAATAATAAATAAACAGAACAAATCACCATCCAAGACCCTACATTTCAATACAGAAAACCACTGGAGAAAGAGCTTTAAAATCATACATGAGAACAAATGTACAAACCTTTACAGCATTAACTGTAAGACCCAACCTCTTTTACTCAGTGTTACAGATACAGGCCCTGACCATCTCACGACCTTTGGGTGGGGGTGGGGGAGCCTTCGTTGCAGTGTCAGGGATTCAAATCAAGGTGAGAAAGGTGCAAGGCAAGTGCCTTAACCAGGCTGTCCACCTACCTGAGTCCTACAGTCCACCTACTGCCCACCTAGTCCACCGATCTGACATTCTTGAGGTTCTTTCATCTAGGGGTATAGGGGTGAGGGGGAGTGGGCTTATTGGTGCTCAGGGCTTACTCCTGGCTCTGTGCTCAGGGATCACTCCTGGCTCTGTGCTCAGGGCTTATTCCTGACGGGTCACTCCTGGTGAGGCTCCAGGGATGGAACACAGGTCAGTCACGTGCAGAGGCAGCACCTTTCCCGCTGTACTGCCTCTCTGGGCCTCTTATAAGTTTCTTTACTTGAACAGCAAAAACTCATTTTGGAGATTTTCCCAAATCACCATTCATATCAACTCTCCCTTCTCTCATCTGCCTAGCAAACTCTAAATCGTGTTTTACTCACTAACTCAGCTCTCATATATAGGTAGGCACATCCAACTCCTTGGAACAGACTTATAGACTCATTACAGCAGTTACTACCGATTCTTATCCAAACTCTTCAAATTACTTCACTGTCTTTGAATATCAATGTATTCCCATAGTCTAACAAATTGCTAGGCATATACTGATACAGTCCAGTATAACTGGTAGTTTCAAATTATCTTTGAAGTCCTCACATAAATTCTTATTCCAAACAGTCCCTGCCATAAAGTACAGCAGCTGGAGAAAGCTCAGGTGCAGTTTCTTGAGGAAGAAGACCAGTACCCAAAGCAACATGCCAGGCACTAGAGGACTTGGGGGGGAGGGCAGATAGGGACAGGACGCTCCAGCCCCTAGACTTCCAACTCAAGGGTCAAGACGGGAGCCAGTCTTTCTCTTCCTTCCTCACACCCCAGCCCCAGCTCCCAAGCCAAGACCAGCAGCAGCATCCTGCACCCAAAGGCCAGAGACAGGAGCACGTGTGCTCGGGCCCAGGAGGGGCAGGCCCACTGCACTGCTGCCCGCACCCTGACCTCCAAGGTCACGAGGAGGGGTGCAACAGAGTGGCTTCCCGCCACAAGACAGAAAGGGAGAACATCCAAGAAACAGACAAGGCTCAGGTGAGACCACCCTGGAGCAGCTGGTGGGCCCAGATGCAGCCCCCACCCCAGTCAGGGCACACCCAGCCCCAGGACTCGCATGCAGAGGCGCTCCTCAGTACACTCCTCCACACTCAGCGGCTCCGCCATTTCTCATCCATCTGGGTGCTTTCTATTTTCTCTTTGGATGGCAAACGATCGTTTACTGCCACTCCCACCCTAGGTGTCCTTCTCCCCAACCTCTGCCATAACTTTGTGTAGTCTGTGAACTTGATCACTACAGGCACTAGCCATGCACTGGGATTCCGCAGCACCCTGACCCTCTGCCATTCCGTCTCAGAACTCTAGACTCCTGAACAACCAACAGTTTCCACGTACTGCCAAGTGTTCTGAAGGGAGAGGCCAGTGCGCCCAGATGATGACCACAGGGTTAATTCACATCCCTACTGCAGATTTCAGATGACAGCAAGTCAGCTACTTTTCCTGTACTATCCAAGCTTTATTAATTCATTTTCTCAACACTTGTCATTAAACCAACCTTTTCCTGGTTTACTAAACTTTTCCCCAAGGTGTTAAAGGAGAAGCATCATTTCACCAGACTGTCCTTGGGTTCTTATCTCCACCTACACCTAGGGATGCTCAGCTGCTTCCCCAGCACTAGCTTCCACCTGCTCTGCCTCTTCCTTCACATTCATCCATCTGCTACTGGCTCCTTCTCCTGCCATGGTCTTTCATGTACACTGTTTGGCCTCTCCTGGTTAGAGATAGGAGTCAGCGAAGATTAATGCCGAGGCAATGCACATCTGAAAACCTCCCCACAATTGGTCACTGAACTGAATAAATAACTCTGTATTTGAATAATTTCCTTCAAAACTAAATGCCAGGGGCAGGGCATTTGCCTTGCACGCAGCCAACCTGGGTTTGATTCCCAGCATCCCATATGGTCCCCCAGCACAGCCAGGAGTAATTCCCGAGTACAGAGCCAGGAGTAAGCCCTGTGCATCATTGGGTGTGACCCAAAATGCAAAAACAACAACAACAACAACAAAAAAAAAAACACCTCTAAATACCAGTCTCCAATTTTGATGTTATGATGAAAGCCACTGAGATTCCTACCCCTTCATATGACCTCTTCCTTTTCTCAGTCTGGAAGTATCTACACCAATGTTCAGAAGTGACCCACAATCTAACTGCTCAGTGAGCCTGAACTCTTGGAAGTTTCTGTGTTGTAGAACTTCATAGACTGATTCTCTTTACAATTCTTCACTTCTGTCTGGTGATTTCTCACTTTGGGTTTTCCACTCTACATTCTGGGAAAAAAATGTTTTTTTTCGGTGAGAGGGTGGGAATCCCAACAATGGTCAAGGAGCACTCCCAGGGATACACTATCCATGCAGGCTAGAGAGCTCCTGTTGGAGGCCATGGGAGCTGCACCCAGGATGCTTGGGCACCATGAGGTGCCAAAGATGGAACAGCGGCTTGCAAAAACAAGATGTTCATCCAGTCTCTGTGGCTGTTCACTCTGTGGCTGTTCACTCTGTGGCTGTTCACTCCAGTCTCTCCCCCTGGTCCTGGGAATGCTTTTGCTCTCTCACTCTCTATCTCTCTTTTTTGTTGGTTCTTGTTTTGGTTTTTGGATTCTTGGCCACACCTGGTGGTGCTCAGGGCTAACTTCTGGCAGGTTCAGAGTAACCATATGTGGTGCTGGGGATCACACCCACATTGGCAGCATGCAAGGCAAACACACCACCCACTGTAAAACCTCTCCAGCCCCTGCAAAAGGTTCTTAAGTCTCCATTGAGATTTGGCTCTCTGCTCTCCCACTATAAAATTCCAAATGTTCTCCTTAACTACTTATATTATGCTTTTAAAGATCATTCTGTTTCATGACTTCACTTTTTTCAAGAATTCTAAATATCTCCCTAAGGACATCAAGGGAGTTTCTTAGTCTTTCGGGAGTTTGGGTTTGTTTTTCTTGGTTCCTGTATTGTATGACTGTTCCCAGTAGCATTTTTTCTGGTGGTCTTCAGTTCCACCTTTCTAAGTATGACAGCACAAAACAATGCAGGAGTGTTCTCAGTGGAGGAGGGTCACTTTATGGTGACCAGGATGAGTTCTTTCTTCTTCCTCTGAGGGCCCTCCAGTGTCAGTATCTCCAGACCCTTCCTCAGTGACAGACAACACCCAGCTCCCTGAGTATACAGGCAGCTGCCACCTCAAGGGAGTCTGGCAGGAAGAGACCAGTGTTCTTGGTGTGTAGGAAGAGGAAGAGATGCATTCTACCTTGCTGCCTTTCTCGGGTCTTCTCTCCCTCACACTACACTGCCATCATCCTGGCCCCACTGCATAGCCCACTTCCCTCAGTCCTGCATTTCTAAATTCTGCTGCTTATCTCTTCTGTGTTCTTCCTCTTGTGTGTGTGCATTTTAAAAAAAAAATGACAACAGAGGGACCAGAGCAATAGTGTAGTGGTAGGGCTTTTGCTTTGCACACAGCAGACCTGAGTCTGCTCTCCCAACATCCCATATGCTCCTCCCAAGCACCACCAAGAGTGACCCCTGAGTACAGAGCCAGGAGTCAGTCCTGAGTACCACCTTGTATAGCTCCAAAACCAAAAATGTCTTTAATTCTTAAAAATAACAGAAAGATTAACATGGGTCCTAGACAAGAGTAACACAAATCCATGAAGATTCCATACTGAAAAATACTTTAGGGACAAAGTATTTTTGTCCACAGGGTCCGAACACACACCAGGCCAAAGGAGCCTTCAGTGAGTCCCACCACAGCAAGGCCCCGAGAGTCTCTCAGGAAGCCTCCCTGCACAAATGGTAAGGGCCAGGAACGTGTTTAGTGATAGTGCCTCGTCCATGCCTCATATGGAATCACCCAGCACTACCCCCCTGCAAATTAAAACAACCTCACCCCCAAAATGCTCTTGTACTGGAGTAGATGTTTTTGTTCGATTTGCTCCCTCCAGCTATAATTTCCCCCTTCAGCGGCTTCTACAGGTCACTGACCACAATAAATATGACAAGAAAATGCACAGGCCAAAACTAAATTACTCTCACTTTTACTTCAAATCCAGAACCACACCTAGCCCAGCCCAGCTAAGTCCCAAGTTCAAAAAAGATGAGCTGGAGGGGCTAGAAAAAATACAAGATATCACATGCTGTCATGGGTCCCTGAGCCCACTAGGACTGACCCCTGAATAAGACCAGATCTGAGCACCCGCAGGTGTGGGTCAAACCCTGCCCACAAAAAGGGTAAACTGAAGAGTGCAAATAAAGAAAATGAGATTTACAAAACAGAAAACAGACCAGGGGTGGTTTGGGCCTCAATCTCCCCTGAACACTGAGGAGGGAGGTAGGGAGAGAGGGAGGGGGAGGGGGAGGGGGAGAGGGAGAGAGGGAGAGAGAGAGAGAGAGAGAGAGAAAGAGGGGGGGGAGGAAGGGAGAAGAGAGAATGAGGAAAGAGGGAAGGAGGGAGGGAGGGACTGGCCTGTTTAACAATAACCTAATGGCCTCCTCCCTTCACTCCTGGCAATGGAAATCTGATCTTACAGGCGTGGGAGGGGCTGATATTCCTGCTCATTCCGATTTGGGCTTGTCAGGTTAGGGAAAGGCACCCAACATGAAGCTCACCAGAGTAAGCAGAGTAAGAAGGTCTCCAGAGTAAAAGCTTCAGATCTCCTTCCAAAGGTTCAATTTACCTATCACCAAGGAAGCCCCACACCCTCATCCTGAACAGGAAGGCAATCAAGAATCGCCCTCCAGGGCTGGAGCGATTGCACAGCGGGTAGGGCATTTGCCTTGCACTCGGCCAACCCGAGTTCGATTCCCAGCATCCCATATGGTCCCCGCAGCACTGCCAGGAGTAACCCCTGTGCATCGCCGGGTGTGACGCAAAAAAAAAAAAAAAAGAATAGCCCTCCATCTAAGGAAAATCTGCCACAAAACAGGAAAAAGTAGAATTTTAATGGCCCTGAAGAAAAGTCAGTGTTGAGAATATCTCCTAGAATTTTGGCTCCCAAAGTGTGGGTCCTGAACCACAGACAGGCGGAAGGGAAGAGAAACAGACATTTCAGTCATGTTTAGACTCAGACTTTTACTTCCTAAAGAGCCCCTCAAAGAAAATTTTAGAATATACACCACAATATAAAAATGATGAACAAGAAAACAAAATACATAAAATTCAATAGAGACTCCACTGTTTGATACCCATATACAACCCAGGTGCGCTGAAAGGGAATTCTAATGTGCTTCCATAAGGATAAGGCCCAGGATCAAATGCTGTCCAATAGGTAGCAAGATGGATAGAAGGTCTGCCCAAGGACAGAAAGGGGCAGATGCAGAGGATGTGGAGGGCAGCACAAGACTGAGGGTGCATCGGAGGAGAGGGTTAGCAACACAGGAGAAATCACAGTTTAGAGGTGGGGCAAAAAGAGGAGTACAGGAGTCAAGTATTTGTCTTGCCCATAGCTAACCTGGGTTCATTCCCCCAAGATCCACCAAGCCCAATCCTTGAGCACAGAATCAGGAATATGCACTGTAGGTATTCAGAAAAATCACCGCCCCACCCTGCCAAATCCCAAACACTTTCAGTATCAACATAAAATGGTAAATTTCATTTTATATGTATCTTTAATATAGAGCAATGTTTTAAATTAAAGAAGAATCTTCCATCCTCTCCCCAAATTCCATTTCACCGGAAGTAACCAGTATTACCAGATTTTTCCTGTGTATACATACACAAAACATCAGAAAACTGGCTTTAACAAAAAAGCATCACATTACTAAACATTGTACTCACCAGTGTATTCTGTATAAGTTTTTGAAACAGTTTCCTTCAATTCACTGTATGCTAATTACCTAGGAATGTCCAATAGCTACATAACAAACAAAATGTTGCATGTAAAACCATCTTCCAAGTCTGAGGGCAAAAGTGGTCTAATGGTCAGGAAGCCACAAGTCACACCTTAAATTTTTAAGTCTCTTGCTCTGGTTTTTTTCATAAAAATCAATTTTAAGTTTTCATTTCCAAAATTCAACAACGGCTACTGTGTAACAAGATTAGCAAGAATACGCAATTTAACAAATCAAAATAGGGACCATGAGGTTCTGGCTCCATCACTAGAGTAAAAAAACACTACCTTTTTAAAATCTTAGGGCATATTTGATCTCTAGCACTGCTGGATGTAGTCCCAAGAGGCACTCAGAAAAAAAAAAACTGAAAAAAAATCAACATAGTACAGAAACAAAAATACCTCATAAATATAAATATAAATAGAGTTAGTGGGGAAAATGGAAAAGAGTCAAGACCAAATTCATAATTCAAAGGGGGTACTTAAGAGAGTAAATTAAATTCAGGAAAACTAACTTTTTGAGTTAAGCATTTATTTTTATAGAAATCAAATACATTCTAAGTAAAAAGAATTTCTGAAAAATTCTGATTTTTATTAAATCTGAACTTAGTAACATTAAAAAATTCCTCAATGACATATAAATTTTAATTTGAATTTTTCATTACTTTTAAAACCCGAGGGTTTTTTTTTGTATATATACCATAGTTCTTTATTCAGATGTCTGTGTTTGACATTGAATTTTTTTTTTAAATTTTTAATAGTGAGACATCATGAGGTACAGTTGCAGACTTACAAATTTTTGTGCTTGGGTTTCAGTTATACAATGATCAAATACCCATCCCTCCACCAGTGCCCATTTCCCACCACCACAGATCCCAGTATCGCTCCCACCCCTCATCCCACCCTATCCCACCCTGCTTCTGTGGCAAGGCATTCCCTTTTGTTCTCTCTCTCTTATTGGGGGTTGTGGTTTGCAAAAGAGGCAATGGGTGACAATCATGTTTAGTCTATAGTCTACTTTCCGCATGCTTCTTCCATCCTGGGAGGATCCTCCCAACACCTTTATTTGGTGTTCCCTTCTCTATCTGAGTTCCCTTTTCACCTAGCATGTGTGGTTGGCCTCCAAGCCATGGAGTAAAAATTCCTGGTACTAATCTCGGCCATTCTTGGGTGTTAGTCTCCTATTTTGTAAAACCCAAGTTTTAAGACACGATTATTTGATTTCATTAAGTTTATGAAGTAGTCATAATTTTGCAACACCAGTCTTATTTATAGAACCAAAACAGTAATGGCAAAACAATTTTTTTCTTAAGGAAAAAGTTAATCTATTTCCAAAGATTAAAGATTTTTCTTGAGGCTGGAGCAATATAGCACAGCAGGTAGGGCATTAGCCTTGCACGCGGCCAACCCGGGTTCGATTCCCAGCATCCCATATGGTCCCCTGAGCACCGCCAGGAGTGATTCCTGAGTGCATGAGCCAGGAGTAACCTCTGTGCATCGCAGCAAAAAAAAAAAAAATAGATTTTTCTTTCCACTCACTGGAAATCTAAACCCTTAGCTGTTCGTCTAAAGAGATGTTTAACTGTTTAACATATACCCAAAATAAAACTCTAGTAAGACTATTCTAGCTACCTGTTAATGTTTATGGTCATTGTTTCTTCCTTAATCAACCTGTATCCCATCATTCCACACATTCTTGCCCACCATTTCTAATACTCATCTCAAAGTTTTCCCAACTGTAAAAACCACATCCTTTTAAAAAAATAATTTTAAACCCTTGGAAACATGAGATTAAAATCCACACTTTAAAAAAAATGCTCTTCCAATCATTTATCGACGCAAACCCATGTACCAATCTTTCTTTTTTCACGAAGTGTGGAATCTGAGATTTTTAGTGGTTCACCATAACGAGTTTCCTGAAGTTGCCGTAACCTTAGGCTCCGTACAGCGGCACCCACGCCCCTGCCGAGCCCGCGCCCCCGGCCGCCCCGACGGCCCCAGGGGCGGGCAGCGGGCAGCGGGCAGCGGGCAGCGCACCCCACACGTTCCCCCGGGAGGCCTCGCGCGGGGCAGGGGCAGGGGGACGGGGTAGGGGGACGGGACGGGGGACGGGGCGGGGGACGGGGCAGGGGCAGGGGCAGGAGACGAGACGGGGGCAGGGGAGAAGGACGGGGACGGGGCAGGGGTAGGGTCCGGGGACGGGGCAGGGGACGGGGTAGGGGCAGTGGCAGCGGGGACGGGCATGGGGAAGGGGCAGGGGCAGCGGGGACGGGCACGGCAGGGGCAGAAGCAGGGCAGGGGCAGCAGAGACGGGCAGGGGAGGGGCAGGGCAGGGCAGGGGCAGGGGTAGGGGCAGAGCAGGCAGCGCAGGGCAGGGCACAGCGCTGGCAGTGCGGCGGGCAGGGGCGGGTCGTGGGCCCCGGGTACCTGCAGAGGTCGTCCAGGACGCCGCCGGGGATCTCGGCCCGCCTGGTGTCCATGGTGAGGCCCCACGGCGGGAGGGGCGCATCCCGGTCCCGCGACCGACGGCAGCTGCGCCCTGCGGCCTCGCCGCGACCCCCGCAGGCTCCGGGAGGGGCGGGGAGGGCGGGGCTCCGCCGCGTCTCTGCTTGAAAGGCCCAATGAGGCGCCGGGGGCGGGGGTTGCGCGCGCCAGCCAATGGAGCTCTTGTTTATTGGTCCGTGGCCTCCAATCAGACTTCAAGCAGCTCGCGGCTGCTCGGAAACCAGCTTCCCTCCTCGGGGCCGGGGGTGAGGCTGCGCGCGTGCGCGCCTGCACCTTCCTGCCGGGAAGTGCTCCTCCGCGCTTCCTCTCCGCAGGTGTACTGCCCACGCTCTGTACGTTATGCACACACTCCACGTGTACGACCGCACACACACATACTATAGACACTACTGAATCTGTACTACAGATTCATACTCTGTTACACAACATACACAACTGCACACACTCACACCATTGCACACACTATACATACACTACTGCACACACGCATACTCTATTGCATCCACTATACACTACTGCACACTCATACACTATGCATACACTACTGCACACACTCATACACTATGCACACACTATACTGTACACATTCATACACTATGCACACACACACACTATGCACACACTATACACTACTGCACATACTCATACACTACTGCACATACACACTATTGCACACACTCATACACTATGCACACACTATACATACACTACTGCACACACGCATACACTATTGCACACACTATACACTACTGCACACTCATACGCTATACATACACTGCTGCACACACGCATACACTATTGCATCCACTATACACTACTGCACACTCATACACTATACATACACTGCTGCACACAATATACACTACTGCACACACTCATACACTATGCACACTATACTGCACACATTCATACACTATGCACACACTCATACACTATGCACACACTATACACTACTGCACACACTCATACGCTACTGCACATACTCACACACTATTGCACACACTCATACACTATGCACACACTATACATACACTACTGCACACACTATGCATACACTATTGCACACACTATACTGCCGGGCCAGCCCACAGTCGAATGGGTCGGGAGGGAAGGTGAGGATCTATATAAAGAAACGATATAGAAGTGGTTGAGAGGACTGAGTTCTCATGGAATAGCAACATTGATCTTTATTTCAGACAGCCTCTTATACATCTCTATAAGGAACTTGGCAGGTAAAATCATTCATTGTAATTACAAAAAACATATTCCCAAGATCATACATTTCTTTGATCATAACAAACATAGGAAGCATAATATAATGAAAAAACGTTACTTAGATCAGTAACGGGCAATAATAACAAGGTAGAAATAATAGCAAAGTATACTGAAGAACACTCTGACCCTTCCTGTGTACTTTTCACGATTTACCAAGGTGTTATTTCCTGCATATGCCACAAAATCACAATGCATCCATTTCTTGTTAACTTCTCTTGCAAACTGAGGATGATGAAGTATTAACTTCTCTGTAGGCTTGAGTTAATGACATGACTACTCCACGTATTAGAGGTGGCGAGACAGAGAGCTATGCCAAGTACACTTGGCCCTCTGAGTGAGGCAGCTCCCAGAGCTAGGTCCCCGTAAGGACCCTGCATAAGCAGGCAGCTCTCTACACTACTGCACACACTCATACACTACTGCACATACCCATACACTGCTGCACACACTCATACACTGTGGATTGACTAAATATGTGGGTGCTGCACGATGCGTGCATTCGGTGGCCAAGCGCCGCCTCCCATCCTCCCCAGGCCTCCCAAGCAGAGAGAGACAGGGAACCACGGCCTGATGGTGAAAATGTCCTGTGTAATGCAGAGCTGCTAGCATACTTATAAAACATCTGAAAGGGGTTGAGGTAGAGGATCTAGGTGTGATTGATCACTTACAGAGATAAAACACTTGGCAGAGGGTTGGAGCGATAGTATAGCGGTTAGGGCATTTACCTTGTATGCAGCCAACCCGGGTTTGATTCCCAGTATCCCATATGGTCCTTCAAGCTCCACCAGGAGTGATTCCTAGGTGCAGAGCCAGGAGTAACCCCTGAGCATTGCGGGGTGTGACCCAAAAAGCAAAAAAAAAAAATTGTCAGGGGCAATTCTCTTAGGGAGATTACCTCAAGGAATAACTCTGTCTTCCAGGGACTTCTGTATTGTTTTTGTCTTCCCTTCTAGTTGTATATGTTAAACAATTAAGTTTACTTCTTATCAATACTAGCAGTTGTTTGGATAAACTCAGTAAGAGACAAAGATCCCAAAACTTAGTTCTCTGGGCTCTCAGAGCAAGCAAGCCTTTTACCATAATCCCAGGCCAATCCTAGGGCCAATTCATCTTGTCCTTCCCCACGGAGATCCTGTATCAAACCATAACACCTTGCATCAAGACCTGCATTATGATTTCTAGACTGCCCCATTTCGATGCTGGTGTAGCTTTTCCACTCGCCCCGGGTCCATGCCAGTCCCACAGCAGGACCTCCCTTTTGGGGTGTTAGGAACTACAGCAACTGAAGCCTGAGACAAGTAATTATGACAGAGTAGATATATTTCAGAATCAATCAACTCCCAAATATTAGGATCATATCCTTTAATGGTCTTTCTGTGTTTAACCAAAGAACATTGCTCTATAGTAAAATGTAAAAGGACTTTGGGGAAAACAGAAAAGCAGGTACAAATACACAGCACTTCAAATACAAAGCACTACAAATACAAAGTCGAGAATTACCAGAAAGTTTGACTTATAAGTAATCACGACTGACTTGGGGAACTGTGACAATGAGAGATAAAACGCAAAGGAAAGATTAAAGATAAATTTTTAATTAATAAGGGATGCTAGAAAGAGCATCCCTAGTAAGCTTCTCTGGGATGAGGAAAAGGGGCAATTCACTGATGAAGCCTAAAACACTTAGGATTAATATCCAACAATACACTATTGCATACACTCATAAATAAGTGCACACACTCATACACTATTACACACACTCATACGCTACTGCACAAACTCATACGCTACTGCACACACCCTACACACACTACTGCACACACTCATACACTACTGCACACACTATACATACACTACTGCACACACTCTTACACTACTGTACAGACTATATATACACTACTACACACACTCATACACTATTACACACACTCATGCAGTATTGCACACACTATATATACACTACTACATACATTCATACTACTACACACACACTATACATACACCACTGCACACACTCATGCACTATTGCACATTATACATACACTACTGCACACACTTATACGCTACTGCATATACTTATACACAGTGTCACCCCACCACTTCAAGCAATCTTCCTCCTCACTCACTACACACCCCTGAAAGGTTGATAAATTTGTAGTGGCCAATCTCAGTCTCTTCTCAGACACTCAGACTTTATCACAATAAAATCTAAAGAAATACTGTTCAGAAGCCTGGGAGGTATGGAAGGCGGGGTGAAGGGTGATTGATTAACCCTAAACTCAAAAAATCTGCATTCCACTTCTATAAACAACCTACCTTTTGTCTTGCTTAATGGAATCCAACCTGTTTATATTGTTTCTACTGATAACTTCTACAACTCACCTCCCCACCCCTTCATTTTTGTTGTTCAGCTTCTGTGACTAGTGGTACACGTTTAGTTGGATGCTCAGTTTGCAGAGATGTTTACCAAGAGTTGCACCTCTTTGATTGGAGGACTTCAGTCAAGTTCACCTGAGCCCTGATTCTGTGTTCAGATGGTACCTTAGTGGTCCTTTTTTTTTCTCAGTTGCCCACTTAAAGTCTGTTTTTTCCTGGCCTCCATATTTAGTTTTGTGACCCAGAGTCACAAAGAAATGAGGCTCTTAATTTTTTCAATGAAAATGTTACCAGGATAATTTCCCTGTAGTGGGTTCTTTGTCTAGAAATTAAGAACTGTTATGTCCGAACTGTGACCTGAATGTCAATTTTATTTCCATCAGCCAAAGGATACAAGAACATTTAAAAGGAAGGATCCAGGACTATTCCCTGAGAAGCAGGAGCAATATCCCCCACCTTGGTTGCTGTTTGGCTCTAAGCTATGAGCCAGCCAAGCAAACAACAACCACTGGCAAGATAAACTCCCACTAGCTTCTCTGTTCTAAGCAGGGGAAGCCTGTGGGGCAAGTGAAAGGGAGGGCAAAGACCAAATGGGCTTTTAATTGGCATATAAAGAGACATAGTATGAGAATACAACATAGTAACTGAGAACAAACTCTGAGCATTGCCCTGCAGACTGTGTCTGCTGAGGTGTCAGCAGGGAAGGGGGCCTAGAGGCAGTGGGCTGAGATGCTGACTTTGCAAGAGGTACTATGGCAACATTATTTTTTAAGTGATAAAAAATAAATGTTCTTGTGAGTGGTGCTGGGGTGAGGAGGTACATGCAGAGCTAAGAATTGAACCCAAGGCTTTGCACATTTGGTGACATGACATTGCTATTGTCTCTTCATTATGTTTCTATTTGAAATAAAAGACAAATTGGCAAGAATTAATTAAATCAACATAACGGTCTTGTTTTCTTAATTGAGGCAGTATCACTGGGGTAGCAGAAGTGGCTAAAACAGTACTTCCTGTCAGAGAGAGTTCCTGCCACAGACCTTTGGCACATACTAAGAGACATCAAATTCTATTAACTATAATGTGTATTAAACTAATAATATCAGTAAAGAATGGAAAGGCCAGGTGGTGTGGGCACTGCCAGAGGGCAGTGGCAGAAAAACAAGTGAGTGATGGGGTCTTCCAGCTACCTGCTCTTGGGTCTCCGAGAGACTTGGCAGCTGGACAGCTCCTTGTTTGAGTCTTAGAAACCAAGATGTAATCCAGGGCCACACTCACACTGACTCCCCTCCCCTCGGAGAACTGCAGAGAAGGCTGTGTGCAAACACCCTTCAAGCTGCCTCCCTTTTCATTCCCTACCCAGCCATGCCTCTTCACACTCATAGGGCCCCAAACTCGACCCGTGCAGATCAGCCATGTGTAGG